GTTACACAGACAATACCATGCTGGACTGGGGTTAACACAGACAATATTTCAACACCTTACTTGATAACAACAAGTTCACAATGTTCCACAAATCAACTTGTTAAAGCACAACAGCTACAACTAATTATCGATTTACAAAAACACGAAGCATCTAGCTAATAATAAATATAACATTGCACCTATAGTTCTAGTTCTTACTCAAACCTAAAAAAACCCTATTAATATCATTTTTACCAATAAATCAGCCCTGCAATTAGTTGTTCAGTTTGTAAAACTTTCTTATATAACATTGCACCTATAGTTCTAGTTCTTACTCAAACCTAAAAAAACCCTATTAATATCATTTTACCAATAAATCAGCCCTGCAATTAGTTGTTCAGTTTGTAAAACTTTCTTATCTTCATTAACCAATTGATATGACATGTTCATTAAAAATACTAAAAACTGTTCCAAGATCAAGACTAACTTCAAGTTATTATAATTGATTCAGAAATAAAGTACTGTATCACTCCTGGATTTCAGTTTAAACCGGTATCATTATTCAAATCAGATCTATTTTCTATCAGACGTCGGTTGATCAACTTATAGAGTAGGAAGACAGACATGTTTAAAGTTTGTGAATTAATCAAAAAAATTTAAAAATCAAGAGAAAGAAAGATCCTCCCAAATATTGAGCATAGAAGCACTAATAAAATTTACGGAATGCAAATTTTTGAATTTTTTACCTGTGGCTTATGGAATAGAAGATTTGGTCAGATGAAAATGAAATTTCATATTTTTTTTTTTTAGATTTTCCGATGCGACAACAGATAATATCATATATAAGAAGCGTATTTACATAAACCATAACATCATCAGTGAGCAAAAATGAATGCACCATTGTAAATTATCAAAATAATCAAAAGTAATGCCCCAATTAATATCATATCAATTTCATAGCACTAAAAATAATCAACCTTCAAAACCAGATTTTCCATTCTATAAAAATACCATAAGTTGATAGAATGGTCCCTGTAATTGATGTATTTGGGTGAAATTTTAACGATGATTTTCAACGAAACATTCTCAGTTATAAACTATATACACAATATTCCTCATCATTCATCCAAAATATTAAAATTGTTTATAAAAACATTCAACTGTCTTCCATATAATCTGTTCCAAAAAATCTATCTCCAAAATTACCTGAAATATACAGAAAAATAACTTCTATACAATCACACAAGCACTTCATTGTGCTGCATCATATAATACTCTAAACTATATTACAGTAAGAAAGATAGCTAAACCATATTACAGTAAGAAAGATAGCTAAACCATATTACAGTAAGAAAGATAGCTAAACTATATTACAGTAAGAAAGATAGCTAAACCATATTACAGTAAGAAAGATAGCTAAACCATATTACAGTAAGAAAGATAGCTAAACTATATTACAGTAAGAAAGATAGCTAAACCATATTACAGTAAGAAAGATAGCTAAACCATATTACAGTAAGAAAGATAGCTAAACTATATTACAGTAAGAAAGATAGCTAAACCATATTACAGTAAGAAAGATAGCTAAACTATATTACAGTAAGAAAGATAGCTAAACCATATTACAGTAAGAAAGATAGCTAAACCATATTACAGTAACAAAGATAGCTAAACCATATTACAGTAACAAAGATAGCTAAACCATATTACAGTAACAAAGATAGCTAAACCATATTACAGTAACAAAGATAGCTAAACCATATTACAGTAACAAAGATAGCTAAACCATATTACAGTAACAAAGATAGCTAAACCATATTACAGTAACAAAGATAGCTAAACCATATTACAGTAACAAAGATAGCTAAACTATATTACAGTAAGAAAGATAGCTAAACCATATTACAGTAACAAAGATAGCTAAACCATATTACAGTAAGAAAGATAGCTAAA